TTTATTAATTAAGAAATAGATTTTGTAAGGCTGTAGCTGCCAAAGACAGTAACTCCTTTCATGGATCTGGCCAAAGTAAACTGAAAGCTTTCTGGAAAGGATTCACCACTCTAGATGCCATTAAGAACATTCATGATTCATGTATGGGAGGAGGTCAAAATATCCATATTAACAGGAGTTTGGAAAAAGTGGGTTATAACCCTCATGGCTGACATTGAGGGGTTCAAGGCTTCAGTGAAGGAAGTAACTGCAGAGGTAATGGAAACAGCAAGAGAGCTAGAATTGGAGGTGAATCCTAAATATGTGACTAAATTACTACAACCTCATGATAAAATTGGAATAGATGAGGAGCTACTTCTTATGAATATGCAAAGAAAGTGGTTTCTTGAGAATGGAATCTATCCTAGTAAAATGCTGTGAACATTGTTCAAATAACAGCAGAGGATTTAGAATATTCCATAAACTTATTAATAAAGCAGCAGCAGGGTTTGATAGGGTTCACTCCAATTTTGAAAGAAGTTCTACTGTGGGTAAAATGCAATCAAATAGCATCACGTTCTACAGAGAAATCTTTCGTGAAAGGAAGAGTCAATTGATATGGCAAACTTCACTGTTGTCTTATTTTAAGAAATTGCCACAGACACCCCAACCTTCAGCAACCACCACCCTGATCAGTCAGCAGCCATCAATGTCAAGGCAAGACGCTCTTCCAGCAAGCAGGTTATAACTTGCTAAAGGCTCAGATGATCATTATCATTTTTTAGCAATAAAGTATTTTTGAATTAAGGTATATATGTTTTTTAGACATAATGCTATTACACGCTTAACAGACTACAGTATAGTGTAAACATAACTTTTACATGCATGGGGAAACTAAACATTCATGTCACTTGCTTTATTGCTCTATATTTACTTTATTGTGGTGGTCTAGAACTGACCCTGCAATATCTCTAAGGTATGCCTGTATATGTAATTGGTTACCATAACTTTTAACAAACTATATATCCATGAAACACTGTTTCTAAGAACTGCATGTTTCTAAGAATGCTGTGAAACAAGATTCTACGTCAAACAATTAAACTGCCTTATGTATTACAGCACTTCTGAAATCCATTAATATAATGATTGTTATAAATCTCCAAGAGGGGCTTACAGTATATAGTGTTTTTCTAAATATATTTGGCCATGGCACACGTGTGTATATTTTGCACACAGGTGCATCTGTGTGTGTAATATTAACAGTTCCCAGGACAGACTAATATAAATACTGTTTAGGAAAGGTAAGATTACAGTACACTCTAGTTTCACTAATAGGTAGGTATATACCTTCAGTTCCAAACTTTAGAAAGCTCTACACTAAAGCTCTCTGTATAGCTGATATACAGGAATACACATGTATGTCAATTATAATTTATGACATGTAGTGTGTTTGCAGTCATTTTTTATAAATGGGTACCAGACCATTAGTTAAGAATATAAATCCTTGCTGAAATTCACTTCTATCATTTTAGTACTCCTTTTAAAGTAACATAATCTGAAATAAATTCAAAGAGGATTTGTACTTAGATTTTTGAGCCGTGGAAGAGCCTTTATAATGCTAATGGTAAATTATGAAAACTATAACTTTTCTTTGACACTTTGGTATGGCAATTCCTATTAAACACTACTTGACAGAATTGCTAATTATTTGGTATATTTCTTCAGGTTTCCTTTATGTAATATTTTTGTAATTTTTGACATTGCTTATAATTTAATTATAAAATAAATTGAAAATGATAGTTTTTCCATTGTAAAGTCGATTATGACACCTCTTCTGTTTTCACCCTCATTCCCCCCTATGTTAAGAGTTTCATCAGAATCTGTAGGCCACTTTGAAATGGAGGCTTTCAGAGATAGTAACCTATTTTGGCCCAAAACCCTTTCAAAATCAACAGTCATCCTAACATAATTGTCAACTATTACAGAAATCCTGTTTGTGATATGCACATTTTTATGGGATCATCTAAATGACAAGTGGCCCAAGCAGAGTAGATTCACTATTAGCAGAACTCCAGTTGCTCACCAGGGAACTAAAGTTCCTGATTACAGATTCAAAGACAAGTTTACTCATGTAAATAGCAGTCTGCATGTTATACCCTAAAAGAAAACTGACAGATATTCTTGATATCAAACATCTAATTATGAAAATAATTATGAAAACTAACAGAACAAGTGCTCATAACTTATGAAAAATCTTACTTTATAGTTATAATAAGGAGCCTGCTGATCTTTATCCCATTGGTTTCCAGAAATAGAACTATTTATTTGCTTCATGATCGTTTTGTAGGGCACCTGACGTCCTGCAGCATCACTACAAGGAGCCCCCCGGAAAGGGACTTTTGCAATGGTACAAACATGATCCTAGAAATGCAAAAGTACTCATGTTACAGATGATCAAGTATGCAATTCTTAAAAGCCAAATCAAAAATATATAAATTATTTAGAAATAAAACATATACCATAAATAACCTGACTATACAGAATAAAGGTTAAAATAAATTCCATTATGAAATGAAAATGTATGATAATCATAAGCTTTCATAGAAGTAAAAATAATTTTTATCTCAAACTATATTTCAGAAATTCTAAAGTTTATATATTTCTAATGAAAACAGAGAGACTCTAAAAAATATAACAGAGAATAAAAATTATGTAACAAATGACCTGTTCCTACCTCAGACAGATTCAGGCAGGTATAATCATAACCATACCAGGGAACACCCATTACAAGTTTCTTAGGATTAATGCTCATCTTGATGTAGTCATTATATCCTAGTCAAGCAGGGAGAGAAAAAGCGTATTTGTTTCTCTTCATATGTCAATGTGTTCATACAAGCTATGCAACCGTTCAGAATCTGTTTGTAAAAACAAGCACATTTATAAAAAACACTAATAATGTTTAATATGATGTTATAAAACATCCCTTAACAACCATAAATTGTATATCTTGCTTCCTAAACCATTTCTCTTTGAATAAGAGAAAACATTCAAAACCATTAAGATCATATTGAAATAAAATATTCACAAAATCTAATTCTAGGAATAATGACACATTTCAGGAAAGTATGCTAATTGTATCTATTAATTGCTAAGACATGATATACTTGATACTCTAGATTCTAAAGTTTCAACAAAGTTTTATAAATCTTAACTTTCTAGCAGTGATTGTCTCAGAGTTTCTTAGAAAGTACAAGTGTTCCATGTTTTGCAAATATAGACTATAAGTATGAATGATAGCTGGGGATAAGAAATGTGTCATCTATAGTTGGAGGAAACAAAGAAAAATTAACAAATACCTAGAACTATCAGTCCTTTTCTTGCCCAATGCTGCAAAACATGTTTTTTCACCAAGACATGCAAATAGTCTATAAGTATGAATGATAGCTGGGGATAAGAAATGTGTCATCTATAGTTGGAGGAAACAAAGAGAAAAATTAACAAATACCTAGAACTATCAGTCCTTTTCTTGCCCAATGCTGCAAAACATGTTTTTTCACCAAGACATATTCACAGATTATCTAGAATGTTGAGGTAAATAACTTTGTTACTTTTTAGAGCCTTTAATGTTATTATATACTATTAAATAACCAAAAATGGGGTGGGGAATGCATCAGTTCCCAAACATATTGGTTTATTTAGTTTGTTCGTTGATTTATTTATGATACAAAGTATCACTATGTTGCTCAGGCTGGCCTGAATTCCTGGCCTCATGTGACCTTCCTACCTCAGCCTCCCAGGGCTTGAACCTTTTATTGATAGAACATAATTATCATATCTTTCCTGAAACACAGTTTGGGAACCCTCAATTAATAATTACTTCATAATTTTAACAGAATAACTTATTTTTCAACTTTAAATAAATATGTGGCTAGGCACAATGGTTCATGCCTGTAATTGAAGCGCTTTGGGAGGCTGAGGTGGGAGGATCACTTGAGGCCAGCCTGGGCAACAGAGTATGACCCCATCTCCTTAAAAAAAAAATCTTTTTTAAATTAGCTGGGCATGGTGGTGCATGCCTGTATGGTGAGGCTACTCGGGGGGCTGAGCTTGGGGGCTCACTTGAGCCCAGGAGGTCCAGGTTACAGTGGGCCATCATAGTGCCACTGCACTCCAGCATGGGCAACAAAGTAAGACTCTGTCTCAAAAAAGAGAAAAATGAAAATATTAGCTGGGCATGGTGGCATGCACCCATAGTCCCAGTTACTCAGGAGGCTAAGGCTGAGCTCGGGAGGTTGAGGCTGCAGTGAGCCCTGATCATGCCACTGCACTCCAGCCTGGGTGATAGAGTGAGACCCTGCGTCAAAAAAATAAAAATTAAAATTAACAAAAGAGCAAGCAATCTTTTATTTAGTTGACTGATGGAATACAAACCAATCCAAACTTTGAAAAGGATAATGCAAAGACTACATCATACGAATGACAGGTCAAAAGTACTCCAATTCTAATAGGAATATAATTTTTAATTTATCACAGATACTAAAAGAAGTTAATGCCTATCCTATTAATCATGAAATGAAGGTACCCAACCATAACTATCTTTGCTATTATGTAACACTGGTTATTTCAACAAAAATATCCTGTCAAATTCTAGATAAACATGTGATTTCATGACAAGAATATTGGACCAGAAATGAGAATACCTGATTAAGCCCCAACTATATAATACTTAATAGTTATGCAATCATGAGCGGTTAATTCTTTTTATCTCATCTAGAAATATACCTATACCACAAGATTGTTGGAAGAATTAAGTGAAAATCAAAACTTTAAAACTTTTTGTAAACTTTAAAGTTTTCAATTAAGTGATTTTTAAATGTTTGAAGCAAGCTTTACAATTGAAAAACATATACAAATAACTTAGAAATACTGAAAACAACTTAATATTTTAATTTCTAGAATATTACTAATATTATTAATAAATGATCATGTTTAGAGTCTTACCAGTTAATGTCTGATTATAGGGAGCATTGGCTGCTGCAATACATTCTGACCAGATCTGACTTTGTTCATCATAAGACATCACAAAGAGGAAGTCACAAGCATCTGCGATTCCAGTATAATTATAGCATCTTCTGTCTATGTTCTTTGGAGACCAAGCTACATCAAAGGTTACCTGTGGAAAAAAATCTTACTATTTTATGTAACATGATCAAATATGCATATTATGTCAGATTTTTAAACTTATATATATTTTTACCTTATACTACACAAGGAAAAAGCTTACAGTATATGAATGTAGGGTTTGACACACAGAGAACTTGAACCATTCTAAGAAATATTTTTTGCTTACACTTGACTGAGTCAGACATATATTTGGACATACAGGAGCAGGACACTATATAGAAGATGGCCTTCAAACTCAAAATGTCTTCAAACGCGAGGCTGGTACCTCAGCTGATTAAAAGAAGCAGGTATAATAACAACAGGGTATGGTGATGCCCCTGAGCAATTAGAGAGTAAAGGCACACTAAAAGAATTCAAATACAAAAGTTTTTAAAATATTATGCAGGTTAAATATGTCACCTGTTGGCACAACCTGATTGGGCTGCAAGTTTCAGCCCGTGATTCACAATCACCTTATATGGTAGGTTTGGCCCAATATTAGTTAGACAATAATGGTGTCTTATGGCCACAGGTATAGATTAATCAAGTCAAAATGTTGAACAAATCATTTAAATGATCTTATTTTATGGAAATATTCAAATAAATGTTGAGTAATATATTATCTTTCTTTTTTTTTCTTTTCTTTTTTGAAATGGAGTCTCGCTGTGTAGTCCAGGGTGGAGTGCATTGGTGCGATCTCGGCTCACTGCAACCTCTGCCTCCTGGGTTCAAGCAATTCTCCTGCCTCAGCCTCCCAAATAGCTGGGATTACAGGCATGTGCCACCACGCCCAGCTAATTTTTTTGTATTTTTAGTAGAGCCAGGGTTTTGCCACGTTGCCCAGGCTGGTCTCAAACTCGTGACCTCAGCTGATCTGCCGGCCTCAGCCTCCCAAAATGCTTACAGGCATGAGCCACCGCACCCAGCTTTATCTTTCATTTTGAATAGTGAGCCAGCCTTCAACAAGAATATGTCTCTTTATGTTTATTGCCTTAATGAAGTATTAATTAGCCTTATTTTATATGTGTACAAATGTTCTAAAACTTCATTAAAGGTTGTTTTCCCCCCTTAATTAGGCACTCAATAAATACTGATTATTTTAAAAACTGAGATACTTTAGGTAACATTTTTATACTTTGAACAATTTATTCTAGTAAAACTCTTTTTAGGACTTCCTCAAAGTTATCTTTATAATTCCCTGAGTATTAGCACTTTACAATTATAAGCTTTGCTCAATAGTTTTCCAACAAAATAAGTTATGAAGTAAAATTTTTACATATTGGATCCTATTTTATTACTGCCTCCTATTACCAAATGAGAGGTATATTATAGTAATAGAGAAAAATAAATGACTACATCTAAGCAAGTAAATTTCAAATCCATTTTGTAAGAGTATTTTCACCAGCATTTTCTCTCACAGTTAATCTCATATTTTTGAGAAGGTACTATTATTATATTAGACAAGAAAGCAAAAGACTTGGGTGCTAGTGTCAGCTCTGTTATAATTAGGTCTATATCACTGCTAAGTCACTTAAAGCATCTGCATTTTTCCCACCTATAAAAATGAGGGTATAGAAAGAACTCTTCAAGGCATTTATTTCTAGCTCTTTAATTCTGTGACCACAATTCTGTAAACTAAAGTTACTATCTTATCCCCAAAACTAATTCCACCTCTAGATTCTCTAGTCATTTTTTGTTGGTTACCAGTTTAAAAACTCTGGGGCCACTTTCTGATTCTTTCTTCCCTTACTTCCAAAATCTAACCTCACATCTCCCTTTGGGTGGCCTCTCACAATTGTTCTGCCCCTTCCTTTCCATTAATTAATTTATTTAATATGTATTTATTGTACACCGCTGATTTAGGATTATGTCATCATCCAAATCAAACTAAATCCCTTGATACTGTATTGTTCTGTTAGTAGTCCTTACTGGTCTTCCTCCTTCTTCTAGTTTTACATAGTCCTACAGAATAATCTTCCCAAACACTATTTTACACACATAATCCATTACACACAGAATAAAATGCACAGTCCTCAGCCTGACATTCTGGATTTTCCACAATCTGGCCTACCTTTGTAACTGTCCCTCCCACTAAGTCACCTAACATGAACTTGACATGTAGCCCAAAATGTTCTCCTCACCTCTCAAGAGATGGAAAGAGATATTCCTACTGCAAGGATTTTGCTCAATCTCTTCCTCTCTGCTCTTTCACTACAGCTTAATCAGGATTGTCAAATAGGTTGTTTCCCATATATTCCACACATCAATTCTAACCTATTAGTAATGACTATCTAGAGAATGAAGGAAAAGTTTCTGAAGCCAAAATGTGTGAGGAGGAGAAGGGGTATGGTGGCCTGTATGCCAGGCATGTGCTATTCTTAATCTACATTGTACTCTCCTGACAAGTTGAATTCCATACTGACAAATCTTCCCTATTTGCATAAAACCATAGAAATGTCAGTCTTCATATTGCTTATTATTTTACCAGTAATTCTCAAATTATTTTACCTGTAATTCTCAAATTCATGATGACCAACTCTACCAGAATCACCTAGAACACTTTGCAAAAATACAGTTCTCTAAGCTCTATCCCAGACCTACTGAGTCAATCTCAGTGATATGGTTTGGATCTGTGTCCCCGCCCAAACCTCATGTTGAATTGTAATCCCCAGTGTTGAGTAGGGCCTGGTAGGAGGTGACTGGATTACAGGGGCAGATTTCCCCCTCCAGTGCTGTTCACGTGATAGTGTTCTCACGAGATCTGATTGTTTAAAAGTGTGTGGCACCTCCCCACTCTCTCTCTTGCTCCTTCTCTGGCCATTTGAAGTGCCGATCCCGCTTTGCCTTCCACCGTGACTGTAACTTTTCCTGAGGCCTCCGAGAAGCCAAGCAGATGTCAGCATTATGCATCCTGTATAGCCTGCAGAACCGTGAGCCAATTAAACCTACTGTCTTTATAAATTACCCAGTCTCAGGTATTTCTTTTTCTTTTTTTTTTTTTGAGACGGAGTCTCACTCTGTCACCCAGGCTGGAGTGCAGTGGCGCAATCTCGGCTCACTGCAAACTCCGCCTCCCGGATTCACGCTATTCTCCTGCTTCAGTCTCCCGAGTAGCTGGGACTACAGGTGCCCGCCACCACGCCCAGCTAATTTTTTGTATTTTTTTTTTAGTAGAGACAGGGTTTCACCATGGTCTGGATCTCCTGACCTCGTAATCCGCCCGCCTCGGCCTCCCAAAGTGCTGGGATTAAAGGCGTGAGCCACCGCGGCCGACCTCAGGTATTTCTTTATAGCAATGTGAGAACAAACTAATACACTTAGGATATTTTAAACAAGCACTCTCAGGTAATTCTGAGACAGGAATCACTGGTTTATAATACTCATAATGCTCTATACTGGAATAAAATTTAAGCATTCTGTTAGATATCAAGGAGCTGCACCCTGTCTTCAAAAAAACTCATTGTCTAGCCTATTACTTCTTAACTATAATCACCAATGAAACTTTTTTAAAACTGTAGACTCTGGGATTACCCAAACCCTTTTGAAAAATCATTTCTGGGAATAAGTTCAAAGTGCGCATGTGTGTGTAAAAGTAAACACGTTTACTTTTTCTTAAGATCTGTGGTTATCTTGATATGTGGCTAGGTTTGAGGATCACTAATGTGGGTTCACATTATCCTCTGTTACCCACCTGTTGTCTGGCAAGATTTCTTGTGTTGTTACCTTCTGGTCTAATCATGTTCATTATGGCAGTGGGGAAGCACACTGCCTATTGTCATAGCTGTCACAGTTCTGTGTAGTTAGTCCTTTAAGCTTTACTGGGCCTTGGGTGCAAGTAATTCAGAGACTGTGGAGCAAGTGATACACTTCTCCAGAATTACCTCTACTCCTGGGTTGTTTCTGTCCTGCATTGGTAAAAGCTGGTTAGGCCCCCCTTGATTTCTGTTCTCCCATTGTCTAACACTTCTAACTGTGCTACAAGGCAAGTAGTGGGGTAATCCCAGTGTTGTATTTTGATGTAAACAGAGAATAGTGCTTTAAAATTCCTTAAATAAGAACATCAAAGGCTCCAGAAAAATTTTTTAAGAAATAAGTGCTGAAACTCCCATTGCATTACTATAAAACTAAGATTATATTAGTTTTACCCTCATTAGTATATTCTGATATGGAAAATATGAGGTTTCCAAAGAATAAATGAATTTTTACCTGTGATCCCTCAATTTCACGATGGAAAGTGTCTGTAGTTTCTTTGACTAAAGCAGTTAATGCATCGTATTCAGGTGATAAACAATTAACTTCTTGCTCTATATCGATATTAATTCCATCCATATATTGTGTTTTGGCCACATTAACTTTTTGAGCTATCCAGGATGCTCTGGAAGCAGGATCAATGATATCCTTTAAGGATACATCTCCTATGGAAGAAGTATATATCTTTTGAACATGTATGCAAAAACATTTCATTATTTTGGAAGACTAAGCCCCTAATTGAAGTTTTCCAAATAGAGAAATATACCAAAGTAACAGAAAGCCATTACTCACCAATCTCCAAAATAACCATTATAAATCATTAGTAAAATTGTTCTCAAGTTAGAAGCAGAAATTGTGGTCATCATACTAATTTGCCAGTTACATTTTGCTCAAAACCATACAGTGGTTTAATTTGTTTAAAAAGATCTGCATTTGTGAAATGAATTACACAGTATCTAAGATTATAGGATCCTAACAAAAACAGATAAACATAAAAGGAAGTTTTTGGAAAGCCGGGACTATAGCAAGTGATACAGATAAATTTCCCAACTGCTGGACACATAGATCTGGCAACAGCGTACCTTTAAGTACTACTCTGGCTCCTTTTGAATGAGCGTAGCACATAAGTTCTGAGTCATATTTTCCAAAGGTTGCCACAGTTGTAATCTGTGACCAGTCATAAGATTTCCAAGTTTTCTGTCCAACATCAAACACAAAGACCTGCCAGAACAAGGATAAGCACCATCATTTAAACCAAGAATATTATGCTGACCATCCAAAATACCATTCATCAAACACCACCATACACCAAACACTATGGTGGCAGTGAGAGTACAATTGTGAATAAGACATAAGAGTCCCAATATAATTGGTGGCAGGAGTAATTAGCCAGGCTGGGAAAGAGGGGAAGGATGGGCCAGGAAGGAATAGTGGCAAGTGCCAAGGCCTGGAGGCAGAGACAGCGTGGTGGTTGCGTAACTAAATATTTAGTATGGTCGATGTCTAGAATTTGGGGAGAGAGCATTAGTGAAGGACCAGAGTGGTAGGCATGGGTTAAATCATGAAAGGCTTCATAAGCTCTATTGAGAAGTTAGTACTACCTTGTTTATCCTGAGGTAAAGGGAGAGAATAAAAGCACTTTTAAAAGGAAAAGGTATGCATTTTAGAAAAATATTTTCAGCTGCAGTGGGAAATGGATTAAAGAGAGACCAAAAGTGGAGGCAGAATGTGGAAGCTGTTGGAGGAATCCAAGTAAGAGATGATGGAGACCTCAACTAAAATTGTGGAGCAGTGGAGTTAAGTGAACAGATCTGGAAGATCCTAAGGAGGCAAAATTGACAGGACTTTGTGACTAATCGAATGAGTA